ATAATAACAAGAAGAAAGTTCGGTACTGAAGAGTTTCAACTTCCTCCCCCAGAGCAAACCATATACTGAAATGAGTAGTTAACAATTAGTAAAAGAATGGATAAATTCACATTTTACTACCCTGTCTTTATAGCCTAAAGAGGGCACTAGCAAGAAAAAAAAAAGTCCAACTAGACAGCTGAATGGGGGAGCTGAGGCAGAGAAGCCCAACATCTAGATTAATATTGGGGTCTTGGAGTTATCTAGGGTGTGATGAAAGTTATAGTCCTTTGCCTTCCAAAACCACACATTTTTACATAAAATTTGTACACAAATTTTGCATAAAATTTCAAAAGGCTCGTAAACCCTTTGGTGCCCATGCATGGACCTCAGATGTAAAGAAGTCCTGGCCTAATTTCTAGAATGTACTCAACAATATAGTTGTCCACAGAGATGCACATATTAAAACGCTCTCTGTCACATTCTTTATAATAGCAAAAGACCAGAACTGATCTAAAGGGCTATCGAGAGGTGGCTAATTCGGTAACGTCATAGCCAATAACAAAAATGGGATGGATTTATGAGTGCCCCATGAGACAAATACCAAAATGCATCGAGAGCAAAAACACAAGGTATAGGACAATGGGTCAAGTATGACGTATAAACATAATATTTCTGAAAGCATACACAAGAAAATGGAAATAATGTTTGTGTCTGAGATGGGGGACTGAACCCATAAGGGATTTGAAGTTGGAAGAAAAATTACTTTTATTTTTTATCCGTTATTATATTTTTAACTAAAAAAAAAACTAATTGGAGGTAAATGGATGGATGGATGGATGTGGAGAGAGAGAAACAGAAAGAGAGGCTGCTAGTTTTAAAAGAACTCCTGGCCTAGCTAAGTCCCCAAATATCCCCAGCCTTGAGAATAATTGGTATCATAAAACATTTGGCACCAAGACATAAATAGGTAAGTATCTCGTAAATGCTTTTCCCAGCTCAGGCTGCTGCTGCCACTCAGAGCTGCTGAACTTCTCTCCCACAGCGTGGCTTTTCTGGCTTTTCCTCTTGCTGAGTCAATTATGGGCATTACAACAGCACCACCAATATTATTTTTTAAAGGCTGATGTTATTCACGAAATACCCATTAAACCAATCTCCTTGCTCCATTTACAGCCATCTTAAGGGTAAATCCAGATGGTACAAATTATGCATATTCAAGCTCAATCTGCATGAGGCCCATCATCAAATAGCCATTATCAGTCTTAGAGCCTTCTGCTGCCTGACAGCCACAGGTGTGTCCAGGTGAGAAGAACAGTGACCTTTCAGGAGATGGCTGGGCTCTCTAGGTCTGGGCAAACCATTTCCCCCAAGGGCTGCATTTGCCTTTGAATCTGAACAGTTAGCAACAGCTACTAGGGTTGCTTGGTAACCAGGTAGCTGTGCCTCGTTTTCTTAGCAGGGGGACAGGATTGCATCTCCCTCCCACACGGCCCTGCTCACCACTTAACCCTGGTTTGGCCAGGAAGATCCAGATGCCCCGGAGACTCTCCTGCAGAGCCAGCTCCCCCTGGCTCTGTCCTTGCCATGGCTCCTCATGGTTCATCAAAGAGATTGCCACTGTTTACCTTTTTTTGATTGACAGGCACTGAATCTCCCCCCACCCCACTGACATGGCCTGAAAAATTAAAAAATGGAATAAAATAAAGTGTGGCTAACTTTTTCATCCTAAAGAAGTCTCCAAATCAGGAATGTAAAGTCTTCATTGGGGCACACAAGTGCCCTACCACAGTACTGCTGGTAAGAATCAGGAGAAAGGCCTGTGTCCCTGCGTTCCCGGGACTCAGCCCGAAAAGTGACAAGTTTGACTTGAATACCATGCCCCACCCTCATCACCAAAGGCAGTCTACAATAAAAGAACAGAACACAACACCTAAGTCACTCTAATATGAGTATAAATGGCATGTGTGATTGGAGGCAGGGGGCAGAATTGTCATTCTAAACCTCTATTAAGTTCACATTAGAAGGGTTTTTACTTCCCGGTTATATCCCACGTGGGAAGTTGTGGGAGGCAGTGACGACTGACCCACGTGGAGAAGAGATCCGAGATCTCCGTGAATGATTCATGCAGGACATGGTCTGAACTCAGATTATCAAGAACTGCCTGGTTCAGTTTCCTTACTTGAAAAACAAGGAGGTTGAATGAGGTGGCCCCCAAAGCCCCCTCCAGCTCTGACATTTTAAAGAGTCCGTGATTCTCGTACTGCTAAAGGCCGGCCTGGCCTCACAGCTGCACTGATGTGGCCGCTGCAGTGCCCCCTGAGGGAGGGGCACAGCTGTAACTTTTTCACATTTGCTCTTCCCAAGGGCTCGAGATCATTGTCATTTAGAGATGGTGAAAAGATCCCATTAAAATGCCAGCATGGAAATGTGAAAAGACTTTTCAACCTTAAGTCACTACTGTGAAGACAGTGACTAGTCACCAATTTGTCTTCCCTGAGCTCAGTGTAAGCAAGGAGGTGCCCATCCTCCACGCCAGATGTGTGGTTTTTGTTTCCAAATCCAGATCCTACAGAGGAAGTGGGAGAGCAAGGGGTGTTACCACAGCACCCAGGAGTTTCCACCAGGATTAAATGTGGGACTGCTTAAATAAATTCAAAAGAAAAGAAAGGCATCCAACTTTCTTCATGTTAATTGGCCCTTAATTTAGCCAAATGTCCCCCCAGTGATCAACATAAGAGCACGGAGGGGAGGAGTCTGATCCTGAGGTTGGAAAACAGCGTATTCCATTACATCACATCCAACTTTCTTCATGTTAATTGGCCCTTAATTTAGCCAAATGTCCCCCCAGTGATCAACGTAAGAGCACGGAGGGGAGGAGTCTGATCCTGAGGTTGGAAAACAGCGTATTCCATTACATCATCAACTTCGCACAGGGCAATAGCCCAAGCTGTGCCTTTCCCCACTGAGACTAAGGAATTGCCATCGGATTCCTCTCCAGGGACACGTGCTCTCTAACTCATGAGAAAAGGCATGATTTTGCTGTCTGTGTCTTTAGGTTTTCTGGCTCCAAACTGAATCAGTGAGACAAACATCCACAGTTTCCCAGATGAATCAAAAAGATGAAAGTCACATACATGAAAAGGAGAATTATGTGTTGGTCAGAGAGAGGGAGATAAAGGGACAAATGCTGACACTCCCTAACCCAAATCAGCCCCATCCCCATCAGAGTGACCCTTGTCCATGTGTCCAATTTGAAAAGATGGTCAAAAGGTACCATGACCTCCTGCATACTAAGCAGGTGTTTTCGAGAACAAACGAGAAACCAAGCCTCCAGGCCAGACAGCGGTCCAGTTCCATGCAACAGTGGAGTGAGTAATTTGGAGGACGGGACAGAGTACTGGCATTTGCCCTGGCATTCCCCCCACCACCAGCCGCAAGCCTGTGCTGTCTGACTTTGCTCAGGGCCTGCAGCAGGGAGCTTGCCTGAAAGAAGCCCAGCTCTACCTATCCGGATGGAAAGTTCACTCTCAGGGAAGAGCAGCGTGGGACCCTCGGGATCCGCTTTCTTCTTCATCAACGCAGAGTCAAAGTTCAGTGCCAGGGCCGTCTGGGGGTCTTCTGCTACACCCTGAAACAAGAGACAGTAACATCACTATAGCACCTCTGCTATGTTCACCCCCCCCAGACCCTTCCAGCTCACAGGTGCTGAGGCACCTCACCGATCTCTATCAAGAGCCCCAGGGCTGAGCCAGTCCCTGGGCCAGTCCCTCAGCTGACCCCGCTGTTAGACCAGGCTGGGTCATTAGAAAGATGACAAGCTTTCTGGGTTCCAAAAAACAAGATCTGAGGGGTCAGTGCTGATCCCAGAAATGGAAAAAACACTGAGAAAGCTCGGGGCCCACAAATCAAAACCCCACGACACACCTCATCACCACCAGGCAAATGGCACAATGGACTTAGCTCCTGATCTGTCAAAAGAAACCCGTATGGCAGGTTTACTCGGATGGCTGCCTCGGTACAGGAACCAAGGTCAACACGTTTAGGAATTTGCCATCTTGGTGCTTCTCATGAGATCAAAAGAGGAAGAGATCTAAAGCATCTCCAAGGAAAGCAATAGTGAGAACTGCAAAGAACACATGAGTATTTGGGGTCGAAATGGCTTTGACTAGTTAATTCGACTGTTTGGCATTAACCAGGCAAAGTTGTGCATTTGATCTGCATGTTCATTGAACACGTATTTATTGACCGCTGACTCTGTGCATACGTCGTGAACACGATGAAGTCCCAGCTCTTACAGAGCTTGTGTTCCACTTGGGAGCAAACACACAAATCGGCAGTGGGGCGGTAAACTTCTCTTCCAAAGGCATCACGTGGGACTCTGCTGACCACTTACAAATGCACAGGATATCAACGGGAACAAGACAGATGGTGACTCAATCAACTATACAAATATCTCCACTTTCATCCAGATACCTCAAAGCTAAGGGAGAATCTTCTCAATGGGCAAAACCAGCAGATATATCTTGAAAACCAGGTGTCTTAGTCTGTTCAGGCTTCTATAACAAAGTATGACATACTAGGTAATTTATAAACAACAGAAATTTATTGCTCAGAGTTCTGGAGGCTAAGAAGTCCAAGATCAAGGTGCCAGCAGAGTTGGTGCCGGGGGAGGGTCCACTTCCAGGTTCACAGATGGCACCTTCTAGCTGTGTCCCCATATGGTGGAAGGGGCCAGGGGTTTCTCTCAGGCATCTTTTATTAGGGCACTAACCCATTTATGAGGGCTCTACCCTCATGACCTAATCACCTCCCAAAGGTCCCACCTCCTAAACCATCACCTTGGAGGTCAGGATTTCAATATATAAATTTTGAGAGGACACAAACATTCAGACCATAGCACCAGGCAAAAATAGTTCCAAACAAACAGAAGTTTCTATTTAAAATATTTGAGTCTAATACGGTAGAAAAGAAGGTGTATCATCCAATCACGTAAATGCATCCATTTATAAGAAAATGAGAAAAATGTTTTCCTGAGTAAGTCTCTTTCATGAAAAAATGTCACAAAAGGTATTCCAGACTGTGTTTTACACACACACACACACACACACCTTGTTTTCTATTGTCATGATCATCTGGAATAAGAAAGATACCCTAAGGATTCAGACATTTTATTTCATCATTTCTTTCCAATTAAATATTAAAAATGAATACATAAGCTCTTCCTCTCACATCTTCCCATCTGTCTCATTCATCAATATCGTCCTAACCCTCTATTCGTAGTGTTCTCTACAATGCACTTTAACAAGGGTGCTGACAACCCATTTAACCTTATTTTAAAAGAGAAAGAATAAAAAAGCATCCTAGCTCTGTTTGAGCCACCCTGGTTAAGGTTCTCAGGTCCCTCTGTAGAATCTGAGAATTCACCTTTTCTGTCAGACAAAAGAGGCAGCCGTCACGCTGTGTCATGGTCACGGCTGACACTACAGATGGACAGAATCCTGAGATAAGAGGAGGCTTTGAGAAGGCCAGCCTCTGCCTCTGCAGAACCCCCCCCCCAACCACCCCTAAGTGACAGCTGGTGTCTGTGGGATGTGCTATGAGCCATGGAGTCACAGCTCTTTGTTTGTTTATATGCTTTAATTATTTCTAATTCTACATCTCCTGCTGACATCAGAGGAATCACGGCAGCAATAAAAGACGTGTTTCACGATGCAAGTGTGTCAGCTGCTTTTCTTTCCTTTGTCTTCCTCCTTTTTATAATGTGATTGATGCACAACTCAGGGAAGGAATAGGAAAACCACTTTTTTACAGCAGAAATGCTGCCGCGGTAATACACTATGAGCCACAGCTGCTCATTTGATTGGAGCCCACCTAGCAAGGTGCAGCTTTCACAGACCACAGTTTTCATTTAGAACAATGGTTTTCAAACGGGTGATTTTGTCCCCCCAGGGGACCTTTGGCAATGGACATTTTCGAATGTCACAGCTGGGAGTGGGGGTGGCATCTCTGGTGGGTAGAGACCAAGCATGCTGCTAAACACCCTACAATGCTGAGGGACAGCCCCCACAACCAAGAATGACCCAGCCGAATGTCAACCGTGCTGAGGTTGAGAAACCCCACTTTACAAGGATTTAGGATGATCGGGGGCCCCAAACTCCCTATATTATTGGTAATATTGGGAACTCACAGGACCCCCTTTTGACTATGAAGAGAAGAATTTTGCCACTTTCTCTAGAAAGACTGCCTGCCTTCAGTATCCTGTATCTTTTTATTAAGTGCCAACTGTGTACCAGAGTTGTTCCAGGTACTAGCAATACCAGAGGGCCTGGTGCCCTATCCTAATCTTGCATTCTCCAAGACAGACCATAATAAACGATCAACAGTAAACTAACAAACAAGAGTGGCAGCTAGTGATAATGTTAAGAAGAAAAGTAAGTCTGATACGTAGTTTGTACCCGTCCTAGTGCAGTAGCAACAGGTACTGGGGCCTAGTTTTGTGCCGGCAATGTTCTAAGCATGTTACATGAGCTAGCCTGTTACTACATATAAAGATGGACGGTTCCTTTAGGTAAGATGCTGAGGGAGTCCTCTCAGAAGGTGGCCTTTAGGGCCAGCCCGTGGCTCACTCGGGAGAGTGCGGTGCTGATAAAACCAAGGCCACGGGTTCGGATCCCTATCTAGGGATGGCCAGTTAGCTCACTTGGGAGAGCATGGCGCTGACAACACCAAGTCATGGGTTGGGATCCTCTTACCAGTCATGTTTAAAAAATAAAAATAAAAATAAAAATAAAAATAAAAAAGAAGGCGGTGTTTGGGCAACAGGGTGAAAATATGGGANTAAATAGGTAAGTATCTCGTAAATGCTTTTCCCAGCTCAGGCTGCTGCTGCCACTCAGAGCTGCTGAACTTCTCTCCCACAGCGTGGCTTTTCTGGCTTTTCCTCTTGCTGAGTCAATTATGGGCATTACAACAGCACCACCAATATTATTTTTTAAAGGCTGATGTTATTCACGAAATACCCATTAAACCAATCTCCTTGCTCCATTTACAGCCATCTTAAGGGTAAATCCAGATGGTACAAATTATGCATATTCAAGCTCAATCTGCATGAGGCCTATCATCAAATAGCCATTATCAGTCTTAGAGCCTTCTGCTGCCTGACAGCCACAGGTGTGTCCAGGTGAGAAGAACAGTGACCTTTCAGGAGATGGCTGGGCTCTCTAGGTCTGGGCAAACCATTTCCCCCAAGGGCTGCATTTGCCTTTGAATCTGAACAGTTAGCAACAGCTACTAGGGTTGCTTGGTAACCAGGTAGCTGTGCCTCGTTTTCTTAGCAGGGGGACAGGATTGCATCTCCCTCCCACACGGCCCTGCTCACCACTTAACCCTGGTTTGGCCAGGAAGATCCAGATGCCCCGGAGACTCTCCTGCAGAGCCAGCTCCCCCTGGCTCTGTCCTTGCCATGGCTCCTCATGGTTCATCAAAGAGATTGCCACTGTTTACCTTTTTTTGATTGACAGGCACTGAATCTCCCCCCACCCCACTGACATGGCCTGAAAAATTAAAAAATGGAATAAAATAAAGTGTGGCTAACTTTTTCATCCTAAAGAAGTCTCCAAATCAGGAATGTAAAGTCTTCATTGGGGCACACAAGTGCCCTACCACAGTACTGCTGGTAAGAATCAGGAGAAAGGCCTGTGTCCCTGCGTTCCCGGGACTCAGCCCGAAAAGTGACAAGTTTGACTTGAATACCATGCCCCACCCTCATCACCAAAGGCAGTCTACAATAAAAGAACAGAACACAACACCTAAGTCACTCTAATATGAGTATAAATGGCATGTGTGATTGGAGGCAGGGGGCAGAATTGTCATTCTAAACCTCTATTAAGTTCACATTAGAAGGGTTTTTACTTCCCGGTTATATCCCACGTGGGAAGTTGTGGGAGGCAGTGACGACTGACCCACGTGGAGAAGAGATCCGAGATCTCCGTGAATGATTCATGCAGGACATGGTCTGAACTCAGATTATCAAGAACTGCCTGGTTCAGTTTCCTTACTTGAAAAACAAGGAGGTTGAATGAGGTGGCCCCCAAAGCCCCCTCCAGCTCTGACATTTTAAAGAGTCCGTGATTCTCGTACTGCTAAAGGCCGGCCTGGCCTCACAGCTGCACTGATGTGGCCGCTGCAGTGCCCCCTGAGGGAGGGGCACAGCTGTAACTTTTCCACATTTGCTCTTCCCAAGGGCTCGAGATCATTGTCATTTAGAGATGGTGAAAAGATCCCATTAAAATGCCAGCATGGAAATGTGAAAAGACTTTTCAACCTTAAGTCACTACTGTGAAGACAGTGACCAGTCACCAATTTGTCTTCCCTGAGCTCAGTGTAAGCAAGGAGGTGCCCATCCTCCACGCCAGATGTGTGGTTTTTGTTTCCAAATCCAGATCCTACAGAGGAAGTGGGAGAGCAAGGGGTGTTACCACAGCACCCAGGAGTTTCCACCAGGATTAAATGTGGGACTGCTTAAATAAATTCAAAAGAAAAGAAAGGCATCCAACTTTCTTCATGTTAATTGGCCCTTAATTTAGCCAAATGTCCCCCCAGTGATCAACGTAAGAGCACGGAGGGGAG